TCTGTTCGAAGCTAATTTTTGAGTTTGTCGACCAAAACGAAGAAATGTTCCTCCATTTTGTCCACCACGATCAAATCGAACAATGTATGGATGTGAACGACCAAAACGAAGAAATGATGCTGATCCTGATGGTTTTTGTCGACCAAATCTTAAAAATGACGTCGATCGAGGATAGGGAACATAGCCTTCATCATTTTCATCATCATTATTAAAAGTTTCTTGGCTATCCAATGTTGTTGGTAATTGTGTTAAGACAGGTGATAGAAAACTTGGATTGACAGCGCTCGTATCTTTTCAAAAAACAGAAAAAATTAATAGGTCAAAAACAAAATAAAAAAAGATGACGTCTACCACTTGATGCTGTCGATAATAATTGAATGCAAATAAGAGAAGATATAATAGCGAATAGATACATATTAATTGAGAATGTATCTGAATAAAATAAAAAAACAAAATAATAAGATAATCTATTTTATACTCTCAACGATAAAAGACTATTCTTGTTTAGGTAGAAAAATCTTTTCATTTCATACATATCAAATAGAATCGTTGTACTCGAACTATTCATCTATAAAACAGACTTTTATGAAAGCGGAAAACAAAAAAGAAAAAAAGAAAAGAAAAGGTGAAGTCAATTAACAAATCGCAGGCAAGACAAAACAGCAATCATCAATATACCTTTCTATATAATGACTATACTTATCTCGTGATCAAAAATTATTTATTAAGCAATTTAACTATGGTTCTCGGTCCTTGGTGATTTTAAAGATTATAATGTGATGAATGAATGATATATTCGGTCTACATCTATTTCAGAAAATGAAATATTCAAGCATAATTGCATGTTAAGTGAAAAGCTTTTTATATCATAAAACTTTTTAATTTTTCACACAATTACTTTCAATCATCCGGTAACCTACATCATTCTCGTTCTTTTTTTTCCCTCGCCATAGATTGTCTGTTTCAATTTATTTAAGCATACATCAATAAAAAAGGAAAGAAATTAATCGGTTTATATACCCGCTACTGTAATCAATTACGGATGTCGTATTAGCATTAGTATTAAAAAAAAATGCTAATGCTCAGATGATATTATTAAAATGAAGCCTAATGCTTGGATATTTTTGTTTTACATTAGAATTAATTAATGTCTAGCGAGGGTGCCTGACACAAACAGTTGTTCAGATATCTTCACGATGGAATAATATATCAGAATTTTATGATTATTTTCATATGTTATAGATAATAGAGATTTTACTACGAATTGAAATTTTCAACTCTATTCGATTAATTTTTTCAAGACTGTTATTCAAAATTTTGATGAAAGTTTTAATGATAATCATTTCCTGACTTTTTTCATCGTTGATGTAAACTTGATTCGGAAAAATAACTTTTATCTTTCGATATGAAAGAGTTTTGACATTATTCTCTTTTAATTATAATTATTAATAATTTCTACAAGTTTTAGAAATTTTCTTTAATAAAATATAAAATAATTGATATTCCAAACAGATCTCTATCCTATCCTTTTAGAAATTTTGTTAGGACAATGTCAGTACAGCGCATTTTATGCACTGACAAAAGGATGTTTTGACATTTTCATCAATGCTAGGACTCAAAAAAATTCTCACATCTGATGTACTTAGTAATGTTCTCTCATGCAAGAAATTAATCACCTTAAATCAAAAACCTTCATTTTTCTATTATTCATAAGATATATTTCAAAATGCATCAATGTATTTTTGCATAAATTATACTTGTTCAGATGGGTAGAATTTCTTTTTTTTGTTGTGAATGGTATGATAATATAAAATTATTAAACTAAACTTGCGACAATTTTAGTATTAGTGTAAAAAAATGATATGTTTACTGAGGAATTACTTCTATAGAAAATTGTATCAAAAGAGTAGTATTTCTAGATTTCAATTGTAAAAAGTTGAGTTTTATCGAAAATAAACTTGATATTTTCAATCAGCATACAAAAGTACACTAGAAAACATATTTTTCATTTTGAAATGCTTCTTTGACAAATTTTGCTATGCTACTGCTCAGCCATTTACTCCGAAAGTTTTATGCTGCTTTTCTCTACAGGTAAAATCTCGATGGAAAATGTTTTTATGATTCAAAATTTTTTTTAATGTAATTTTGCAAGCTGATTGCGAATATCAGGTTTATTTTTGATAAAACTCAACTTTTTACTATCAAAATTTAGAAATACTACTCTTTTGATACAATTTTCTATAGAAGTTTATGCCATTCACAACAACAACAAAATTCTAAACATTTGAACAAGTATAATCTATGGAAAATACATTGATACATTTTGAAATATATCTTTTAAATAATAGAAAAATGAAGATTTCTGATTTAAAATGATTAATTTCTCGCATGAGAGAACATTACTAAGTACATTAGACGATAGAAGTTTTTGAGCTCTAGCATTGATGAAAATGTCAAAACATTCTATTGTCAGCGTATAAAACGTGCTGGACCGATCTGTTTGAGATATCAATATATTTTTTATATTTAATTAGGGAAAATTTCTGAAATTTGTAAGATTCTGCTAATGCATAATTCGAGTAAATTTGTTTCTCTTTTATTAATATATGATTTACTAAAGTTTGACGAGCTGGTCGTGAATATATATAGTTTTTGTTTCGATTCGATCACTGTTCGGTTGAAAAGACCACGAAAAACTCGAATAACTGAAAATGTACCATTGGCAATTATGAACTCGCTTTTTTTTTTACAGAAATCATTAAATTTCAATAATATTGTCTTTTTAAACTTTATGAAAATATCTTATTCTGATTCAGATAATACACTTAAAAACGTCCTGCTCAATATAGATAGTTTCAACATGTCTTAAAGCACCGATTTCTGAGTATTCTTGTAAAACAATCTAGGCTTTTGTAACAAGAGATAGAAGTAAGTATCTTATTTCATTTGAATTAACAGAACACGGTCTACAAAAGTACCTATTTAGTTTTTTAAGATTTTGTTTTATTGTTGAGAAAATTGAATTTTTTTTTCCTCATTTTCATAGTAAAATTAGGCAAAAGGATAAAAAATACTTTTATATTTAATGATTTTTATTGTCACTGTCTGGTTAGAACACGAATTAGACAGCATATCCGGAATTATCGTCAAAAATTGCATCGAATCATACATGTTTTAGTAAAAACTATTTCCAATGGAAAAAGACACCTGTGGTTTCCCTCATGTTTATTTTTCTGAAACTTTGCACATCATCCTCGAGACATCAGTCTTTTGCAAGAAAAAGATTCTTAAAAAATATATATGATTCGATGCAATTTTTGACGATAATTTCGAATATACTATCTATTTCACTTTTTAACTAGATCATGACAATAAAACGTAATTAATATAAACGTATTTTTCATCCTTTTGCCTAATTTAACTATCAAACGAAGAAAAAAAATTCAATTTTCTCAACAATAAAACAAAATCTTAAAAAACTAAATAGATACTCTTGTAGATCGTATTCTGTCGATCCTAATGAAATACAACACTTGCTTCTATATCTTGTTTCAAAAAAACTTGTCAGTGCGGCCCCAAGAGGATCCGAAATGTGAAACTCACAAACTCTGAGTCTTATAAATTTAATACATATGGTTAGAGGTTTTAAAATAAGTTCTTTTTAAAAAATGTCAAATAGATGAATAAATCAGAATTCTAACAATTTTGATAGTTGTACGCGCGCTCTGAAATTTTCTTTAGTGGATCTGTTCATATGTATAATTACTTTTCTATCAGATTATTTCATTCATTTAACGTCGTAATATTGAAAAAAGTTATTTTTATTGTCATACACATCTCTAATACATAAATTCTATTTTTTTAATGATATGTTAGTGACGGTCGGTCATCGCCCAATAATGGCTTAACAACGAAATATTAAATATTATTCAACATTAACATTAAAAACATAAAATATAAAAAAATTAACTAATCAATAGTAAATGCTGAATACTATATTTTGTATTTAAAATATTAAAAAATAATTTTTTTTAATATTAATTATTAAGTATTCAATATATTAATTATTAATTAATTAATGTGTTTGTAACAGTCTGTAATGGGGAAGCTCAGTGCCATGGAAACATATCCAATAATGTATGGTTTTCCGCCATATGGTTGCTAAGGAATCATAGGAAAGAAGGCAGTTCTTATTATCCCCCCTTGCTAGGAAAACATACTCAATGACCTTTGACCCCTGTTGCTAAGGTCTGTAATGGTGGGGGCCTAGAGGGGGGGGGGGGTGGGAGGCAAGCCGCAAAATCTCGATTTAAAACTTATACTCACTGTTTTCTTCGACAATATATGTGAGTTCCACAAAACTAGATGGATTTACAAGAATACTCATAAATAGATGCTTTAAGACATGTTGAAGCTATCTATATTAGACAGAATTCTTTCAAGTATATTACCTTTAAACTTGTGAAGGTGTATCAAACCATATATTAATGAAAGAGAAAAAAACTCACTCGAGTTTTGCATTAGTAGCACCTTAGAAATCATTAATAATAATCATTGAAACAAGATAAAGTCCAAACCGCCTTATATCATAAGAAGTTTGCAACAATAATAAAAAAAAACTCAGGAAATAATAATTATTAAAAAGTTCATTGGTAATGTGGATAATGATTTTGGGAAAAGTAATTGAATTGAGTTGAACACTTCAAAACGTAGTGAACTCATTATTATCTATAATATATGAAAAAATCATAAAACTCTTAGATTTTATTCCATTGTCGATATCTGATTTTCTAAGATACTTATTCGTAAAAAAATTGCCAGAGATAAAAAAAAGAGAAATATTGACAATTATTTAAAACAATTTAATAATCAATAAAATAAGTTTTTTTCTTAATCAAATAGATATTTCTAATGAAAATGCGTCTCTGCTGAATTTATTCAAAAACATTCATAATAGAAGAAAACTTCTATTGATGAGATAATTCAATATTATTGCAGAAAATTTTACGAAATTTAGTGATTGTCATAAAATAAATAGTGTTTTTAAACTCTTAACAATAAGAAATGATCATATAATTGATCCATATTCCTTTATCTGTTTTATTCTATTCGAGTTATTTACTTTCCAATCGTTTGAAAACAGTTAAAAGCAGGTTATTTCGCCGGATATTTCTTCTTTCCTTCAAATTAGTTCAACGTAGCGGAATATGACACTGTAGCAGTTGAATGTGATAATCATGAAATGATTGTTGATAATCAACAAGTTGGTGACAATAAAGGTTATCATAATAACATGATCGGTAGTGGTGAACAAGTTTATGTTGGTAAAGATTATCGTGAAAAAAATAATTGATGTTAACTAACAACTTTATGGGATGTGGATATGAGTGGGTATTTCTCAAGAAGGACAAAGTG